GCAGTCCAGGGTTATACCAGCGCCGATGTCGAATCAAACCTCCCAAGAGTTGCATGCGACCTCCCCGTGTCCTTAGGTCGGACGTGTCCTCCTACAGTTAAACATAGTGCACAAGTACCCAAAGGTAGGCAAACAATAATCAGAAAATCACCCCCACACTATTCTGAACTATTCTTGAAAATGCCTCCTGTAGAGGGACACGCCCGGCCTGACCCTTTCCCCATCCTCTGGGGCCCCCAGGCTCTCAATGGAGGCGGAGGGGGTCCCGACGAAAAAAATCCGCAGCGCACCTCCGGGGCCCACGGAGCCTGGACACCCACCCTCCTCGGGGGTGCGCAAACATGGATCAGCGATCCATGGACTTGGCGCGCGCTCGCCAAATCCGTGGATCGGGGGGAGGTGCACTTCCCAACATGCGGCCGGCGCCGCCTCGCTCGGCGGCAGAGACGGTGCCCTTCGCTGATCCACGCCCCCTTCGCTGATCCACGCCCCCTTGATCCACGCTTGCGATCGCCTGACCTTCCTGGCCGCCAAGAAGTCCAATATGCCTTCTAAGGTTGCTCCAGAAGTGATCCACCACGTCGGAGAGGCCTCAAGAGCACCCACGATGGCCTCAAGACGGCCTAGCCAACCCCAACGAAACCTGAAGAGGGCCCCCCCCAAAAAGTACCCAACGACAGGGAGAGCATCAAGAGGCACGGATCACTGATTCTCCATCTGATCCTGAATTCGCGTCGCGTTCTCGCTAGTTCGTGGGAGCCTCCCCTAAAAGATGGCCCCCAAAAATCCCCCATCATGCTCCAAGGAGGCCCCGGATCCGCCACTGTCCCTGTATGGAGCGGGCGTGTTGGAATGTGCTGTGCTGCCTGGCAGAAGGCTTCTTTGACAAAACTTGTTGAGGGAACCCCACCACGCACGCATCCCTAACAAAAACAACCCTTCACGCCGAGGGCCCCCCCCCTAAATAATTATCCTGGCGAAGGACCCAACCATATGCAAACGTGAATACCGCAGGGCAGGTGGGACGAAGCAAAAAGAATTCCCAATGTGGCCACGAACCGTGTGAGGGGTGCGCCACACTGGGGCGGGGCCGCCATGCGAACCCTGCCACTGAGGCCTTCGGTGGAGCTCTCTATGTCCCTGCGGGGCCACGAACCGTGTGAGGGGTGCGCCAATATGGGGCGGGGCCGCCATGCGAACCCTGCCACTGGGGCCTTCGGTGGAGCTCCCTATGGGGCCACGAACCGTGTGAGGGGTGCGCCAAAATGAGGCGGGGCCGCCATGCGAACCCTGCCACTGGGGCCTTCGGTGGAGCTCCCTATGGGGCCACGAACCGTGTGAGGGGTGCGCCAAAATGAGGCGGGGCCGCCATGCGAACCCTGCCACTGGGGCCTTCGGTGGAGCTCCCTATGGGGCCACGAACCGTGTGAGGGGTGCGCCAAAATGAGGCGGGGCCGCCATGCGAACCCTGCCACTGGGGCCTTCGGTGGAGCTCCCTGTGGGGCCACGAACCGTGTGAGGGGTGCGCCAAAATGGGCGGGGCCGCCATGCGAACCCTGCCACTGGGGCCTTCGGTGGGGCTCCCTATGGGGCAACGAACCGTGTGAGGGGTGCGCCAAAATGGGCGGGGCCGCCATGCGAACCCTGCCACTGAGGCCTTCGGTGGAGCTCCCTATGGGGCCACGATCCGTGTGAGGGGTGCGCCAAAATGAGGCGGGGCCGCCATGCGAACCCCGCCACTGGGGCCTTCGGTGGAGCTCCCTATGGGGCCACGAACCGTGTGAGGGGTGCGCCAAAATGGGGCGGGGCCGCCATGCGAACCCTGCCACTGAAGCCTTTAGTGGAGCTCCCTATGGGGCCACGAACCGTGTGAGGGGTGCGCCAAAATGGGGCGGGGCCGCCATGCGAACCCTGCCACTGGGGCCTTCGGTGGAGCTCCCTATGGGGCCACGAACCGTGTGAGGGGTGCGCCAAAATGGGGCGGGGCCGCCATGCGAACCCTGCCACTGGGGCCTTCGGTGGAGCTCCCTATGGGGCCACGAACCGTGTGAGGGGTGCGCCAAATGAGGCGGGGCCGCCATGCGAACCCTGCCACTGGGCCTTCGGTGGAGCTCCCTATGGGGCCACGATCCGTGTGAGGGGTGCGCCAAAATGGGGCGGGGCCGCCATGCGAACCCTGCCACTGGGGCCTTCGGTGGAGCTCCCTATGGGGCCACGAACCGTGTGAGGGGTGCGCCAAAATGAGGCGGGGCCGCCATGCGAACCCTGCCACTGGGGGCTTCGGTGGAGCTCCCTATGGGGCCACGAACCGTGTGATTGGTGTGCCGAAATAGAGACATGCGGAGGGTGATGCTGATGATGACGCCGAATATCATGGTGATGTTGATGATGACGATGATGATGATGACGATGATGATGATGATGATGGCAGGAGGGAGGGGGCAGCGGGAGGAGGAGAAGGAGGGAACGCGGGGCACCGTCTCTTCAAAACGAGGACCCAACACCACAGGATGGTTGGGAAAAAATGTTGAGGGACCCCCCCCAAAAAAAAATTGCCCCCTCCACGCACGCACCCCTAAAAAACACTCCCATTCTGAAATTGGGCTCTGGCGGTCTTTTCGGCCTCCAGACAGCGAAGATGGCCTCCACGACGGATTCCAAGACAGCCAAGACAAAAACAAAACGGCTCAAGATGGCCCAAGATAGTCAAAGAGGGCCTCAACACGGCGCAAGATGCCCCCAAGACGAACCGAGCATTCTTGGAGAGCCCGAGGGGGCAAAAGACATTGATTTCCCTTAGGCGTTCGAAGAATTCTGAGGATCTCGCCGGTTCGGGTTCCGACCTCCCAAGACGGCCCAAGAGGCTTCCAAGAGGCCTCCAAGATATCTCCAATACAGCCCAAGAGACCCGAAGTCGGCCCAAGAGGACCCAAAGATCGCCAAAATGGGCCCCCAAAGAGGGCCCCTAGACAGCCTTGAAGAGCTCCAAGAGAGTAAAAAGAGGGCCGAGAAAGGCCTGTAAAGCTGTGTTGGGCGGCCAGAAGCCCAAACGCGCCAGAACCTCAAAAGTTCAAGAAAAACTGAAGGAAATCAATGGTGTTGGAGTCATCGGGCTCTCCTGGAGGGCTTCCTGGAGACATCTTGGGCTGTCTTGGGAGCCTCTTGATCTGTCTTGAGACCTCCTTGGGAGCATCATGGCCTCCAGGACGGCTTTGAAGGCAATCAAAATGACGCCGTGATGGCCCAAGATGGCCAAACACGGCTCAATAGGCTTCTAAGAGAGCCTCAAGACACACCAAGAAGCCCCAAAGACGGCCCAAGGGGTCTCAAAGAGGCCCTCCTGGAGAGCCCAATAGAGACAAAACCAATGATGTCCCTGAGGTGGTTGGAACATTTTGAGGTTCTCACCTGTTCGGGATTCCGGCCGACCAAGACGGCCAAAGAAGCCTCCGAGAGGCCTCTACGATAGCTCCAAGGCAGCCAAAGGCTCCAAACAAAAAAGCCCAAGAAGCCCCCAAGAGGGCCCGAAGTCGGCGCAAGCGACCCAAAGATCGCCCCAAGGGTCCGCACGAGGGCCCAAAGATGGCCTTGAAGCGCTCCGAGAGGGCACCGACGCGGCCCAGCGATGTCCCCAAGGAGGCCTCCATAGGTGTCAGACGGGTCAAGAGTCCCCTAAGACGGCCCAAGAGGCCCCATGAGGCCCTCATGAGGCCCCCAATAAGCTTTCAGGAAGCTCCCAGGCGGCCCCCAGAAAGCCCCAAGAAGGCCCCAAGAAGCCATCCAACTTTTCTCCCAGTGCTCCTCCTCCTCCTCCTCCTCCTCCTCCTCCTCCTCCTCCTCCTTCTGGGATCACGACCCGCCCCAAAGCAGACTGCACGTCGGAATTGCGCCGTTCCTGCACTCAGCCTCCTTCCTGCTTCGCTGTTACACACGCACTGTGGCGGACTTTGCCGCAGGCAGCTGGATATGCCCAGAAGCTGTCAGAAGGCTTCTCAAAGCCCCCGGGAGTCGTGAACAGCCCTAAGAGGCCGCGCCCTAGGCTTCCAAGATGCCCCCAAGAAGCCGCGCAACAGAGGCGTAGGAAGAGGACGAACAATCAACACCTACGCGCAAGCAGCACGACAGGAAAGGACAATCATCACATACGAAGTCTGAAGTCGCGCATCTCCTCTTCTGGGGGTCAACAGAATGCAGAATGCGGTCGTCGCGCGCATGGTCGCGAGCGCGCGGCACGCGTGCAACCTGACTTGCGACAGATCACGGGTCGTGTCCATATCTATAGGTGGAGCACGGACATAAGGGCATCCCCTTCCTGACCCGTATCACCTCCTCCTGCTCTGCAGGGGGTCCCCCTCCACCGATGCAATGCTGGAGTGCCAGTCTGATCACCAGCACTTAAGCTGGAAAAGCTGGCCGACAGCCATGACAATGAGAGCCAGGGCTTGCCAGTGAAGGGCGAACCCATCGCAGCGTTCCCCCGTACAGTCGGGGCGTTGACCGAAGGAACCCTAAATAAGGAACGGGGCCCCTTTCTCCCATAAGTTGAACTTCGATTTCCCATGGAAAATCTCAGGAAAAGAAAAGGCAAACTGCAGAGCAATCAAGGAACACCGAGCCCCTCCCCAACGAGAAGGGTTCCTTCTTCAGCTGTATGTGAATATGTACATCTTCCACGAGGTGAAATTAAAACAAGCTCGCCATGCGGCCTCTTTGGCATGTCGACACGCATGGCATGCTTTAGCAGCGGCAGTAAAACGAATTGCCACAGCCCCGGACCAAACAGCCTGGAGGGACGAACCCATCGTGCAGTCCAAGCCGCCGCAGGCGTGCTTCGACCTGGCGTGTGCGAGTTGGCGTTCTGGCGCGGCCTGCCACGACGACCGAGCGCTCGACGGAACTCGTGGCCCCCGGGGCGGAAAGCCTACTGCGCCGCGCAGGTCGCCCAGGCAGTCGCCCGGCCTCGGCGTGCGACCAGGAGGAGGTAGTCATCAGGAGCACGAATGGAGGAGGAGGAGGAGGAGGAGGAGGAGGAGGAGGAGGAGGAGGAGCCCCATCGTGGACACGAGGGTGGCGGACGCCATCTGGAGGACGCCGGCGTGGGCGGAGAAAGCTCACTGCGCCGCGCAGGTCGCCCACGCCGTGGCCCCGCCCATCGTGAACACGAAGGCGGCGAAGGCCATCTGCAGGACGCTGTCATCGACCCTGCTGCCCGCAGACACCCTGGCCCCACAGGCGGCGCCGAGGCTCATGCCGCCGGCGACCGCCGCCCCCACGGAAGGCATGGATCGGCGGCGAGCGAGGGGGGGGAGCGAGAAGGAGAGGGCCCTGTCAGGAGGCGGCGGGACTTCTCGGAAGCCCCCGCGCCTACCGAGAAGTTCCCTGCGGCTGCGGGGGAGGCGTCGGACACATCTCAGAAGTCAAAGGGGGGCTTTCGAGCCTTCTGAGAAGGCCCGCTCCTGCTCGCTTCCCCCCCTCGCTCGCCGCCGAACGGAGTGCCCGGCCAGCAGGTGGAGCACGGCGCTGCACGCCAGCGTCGGTGCCTGGGCTACGGTCACGGTGCCTATGACCGCCCGCTGGCGGTAGCCGAGGCTGGACATGTACGCCATGAGCAGCGGGGTGTCCCCGATGCCTTGGCGGTGCGCACAAGGAGGGGGGCGGCGCGAGGGGGGCTCGCCTTCCAAGAAGGCGGCGAGCTTCTTCGAGGCGTGGGGTCTCTTAGAAAGGCTTCCAAGACGGCTTCTTTACGGGGGCCCAAGGACACACACAAACACATACATAGAAACAACTCCCTGGACCCAAATATTTCCAAATCTACTTTGTTTCCCATATGTCCTTGATTTTCGTTTTCCCCCCCATGTCCCACTATTTGCCCGCGCATCTTCCTTGGAGCCGACGATTCACATTGTCTGTGTTTTTTCCTTTCCTGACTCTGTACAACGCAAGGAAGGATCCTAAAAAGGCCTCCCGCCCCGTTTGAGGCTCGCCGCACCTCCTTGGCAAACCGCCCCCCATCGCGCGACCCTCTGGGTCAGCATGTCCTCCTACAGGCGGGTTTTCCGGCGAAGAATCAGAAATCACAGATGATGCTCAAACACAGCCAAACATAGTCGAAACATCGTCCACCGACTACTTCGTTGACTTGTTATGTTCGAATGCTCCCTCTCCAGAGAGATATGCCGATATGCCCGACTTGGCGTTGCCTACCCCTTTTGTGCGCGCCTTCCCCCCATCGAGACGAGCATCCGATCTGGGCAAAGATACCACGCCGGCTGCACGTTCTTATGCCACTTCTGTTCGCCCTCGTGGTCACTTTGCAGAAGAGCAAGAAGCCCATCAACCTCATCATGGACACGCTCACCCAGGCGTAGTATCACATGCCCGACCTCCGACCCCTCCCGCTTCCTATCTTGGATCCTTTCCGGGAGTGGACAAAGATACCACGGCCGAGAGCGCTCCTAGATCGAGTTCTCAGTATCTGGATTTTGATGCATACCCAGGGGCTCTTGCTTCTTCGTCGCTTACGTCATCACCGACGCCTGGGTCTTCTCAATCTTCTAGCCGCATCCGCGGACAAAGTCACGGAGACGAACACCGAGAGAGTGCACAACCGCATCAGGGAGGTGGCGCTTCTTCCCAAGACTACCTATGTTCTCCTTGCTTCGACCCCCGACCTTCTACAGGAGCGAGTGTACCAGAGTTGGGCAAATATACCACGTCGCGTGCACATTCTCCTACATCTTCTTCTCTTACTTCATCTTCGCTACAGCCTCCGAGCCACCGCCGTGCACAAGGCAATGAGCTCAATCGACCTCTTGTTTCACCCCTCGCTCAACACAAAGGGCCCCGCTGCGATGAGGATCGTAGATGTGAACGCCCTCTGCCCGACCAATATCCGTATTCTTCCTCATCGCCTTTGGGGCGCTCGCTGGAAGAGGGCAAAGTTACCAGAACCAGAAGTATCCCAAGAACGAAGTCCACCGGATTTGGTAATCAAACAGACACTGATATCACAGATGTTGACGAACAGCTGCATCAGGACTGCCCTCCCCCTCCCCCTCCCCTTCCCCCTCCCCCTCCCAGCAACGACACGACTGCAATCAAAGTGGCGTCATGGAACGTTCGAGGACTTACTGATACGAAAACTATTGAAAATATATCGCATATGGACAAGCGTGGCATTGGCATTTTAGCTCTGCAGGGAACCCGCCGCGCAAAAGCAGAAGTTTACGAGGTCGACGGGTACAAGATTATTCTGTCTGGCGAAGACACAAATGAGCGTACTTGGACAGGCGTTGGATACATCATTTCACCCGCAAGCCGACGAAGAGTCAAAGCATATAAACAAATATCAGGCAGACTGGCTTGGCTAAAGATCAGAACTGGCATGGGGGCGCTGGCCATTATCACCGGATACGCGCCTCACAACCTCAAGCCGCTCCATGAAAGACGCGATTTCTACACAGCGTTGGATTCGACATACCGGTCGTGCAATGCCGCCGCTGGCAAACTCATCATTGGCGACTTCAACGCCAGAGTGGGGAAAACCGATCCAGGAGAAGACGCTGTTTTGGGAGAATTTGGATGGGGACGTCGCGCACAGCACGAAGTTGAGCAGCCGAACCGGGATCTGATGATGGAGTTCTGCACGAGTGGTGACCTACAACTTGTAAATACATTTATTTCGCAGCCATTGGAAGAAAAAGTCACGTTCATGGAAGCGGGTGCCCTGCCAATGGGGGACATAGCAGAAGACAGCTACAACACTTTGGACTTACTATTATGTGACGCACATTTGCGGCATCAAGTCGTTGCGCTACGAAGTCATCGGGAAGCGGCCCTGGCCACAGACCATTATTTGGTTGTGGCAGACATGGCTATACAGTCTTCCATACAGAAACCGCGGGAAACGAACGGGACGGCCGAATAGAAATGGCATGCAAGACCCACGAGTACTGCAGGCATATGTGAGCAAATTTATGGGAACAATTTCATCGTTTCCTGGGCCGCCGGCTGATATTCAAGACATGTGGGGAAGAGGAAAAACAGCAACGCAAACTGCTGCCAGCGCGCTCCCGACGCGCCAGGAGGAGAGCATCAAGCCATGGATTACACAACGCACTCTTGATCTAATTCGCCGCCGTACCGAGGCCCGAGTGGCCAACGACATAACCGAGGAGAGAAGATTAATGAAAGCGGTGCGCAACGCGTGCAAGCAAGATAAAACAGTTTGGGTTGATGAGCAAATTTCAACAGGCAGCTGGGACGCTCTGAAAAAGCATTGCCGGCGTAAGCCACGATGCCAAGGGAGGCTAAGAAATATGAGTGGGGAGTTAGTGGACAACACACAAAGAGCAGAGAGAATGGCTGAATACCTGGAGAAAGTGCAGTGGAAAATACGGACAGCAGAGCTTCTAGACGTCTCACCTGGAGATCCATTGCCGGTTTCGGAAGCAGACTTTACGAAAGAGGAGGTTGGCAAAGCAATCAAGCAGCTCAAACGTGGCAAAGCATCTGGCGTTGACGATATCCCAGCAGAGTACTGGAAGGCTATTGCTACAGACCCAGGCGGACTGGAGTGGATTACAGACCTGTGCAACAAATGTTGGAACGAGGAGGCCGTGCCGGACGATTGGAAGAAATCGATTATCTCAACGATATATAAAAACAAAGGGGCCGTCGACAACTGCGACAACTACCGCCCTATCAGCCTACTCTGCGTCGCGTACAAGCTCATAGCTAGTCTTATTCTCCGGCGTCTACAAAACGCAGGGGCAAGGGACAAATTATCGCCAACGCAATTTGGTTTCCGACGAGAGCGCGGGACATCAGATGCTATACACGCTGTTCGCCGGTATATTGATTTGGCTTACGCAGACAAACAAGGAGGCATTGCATTTGTCGCTTTGGATTGGAAGAAAGCTTTCGACTCGTTGAACGTCGAGGCGCTGCTGGAAGCTTTGCACAAATTTGGATTCCCTCGGCGCGTCCTTACAATTATTGGCCACATCTACGAGGGCAGAAAATTCAGCGTGGTGGATGGACGACACCGGTCATCAGAACGACAGCAATTATCTGGGATATCACAAGGTTGCCCAATTTCGCCGTTCTTATTCATTATGGTAATGACGATGGTACTGCGGAGCGCCACACACCACGGAGACGCGGAAGTACGACGAGCTGTAGCAGACGGGTCCTTGAGTATATTGTTGTACGCGGATGACACCTTGCTCGTGGGTCGCAATCCACACCATCTACAAAGTCTGTTGGGCGCGATTTCTAAAGCAGGTGCACGAGTTGGCATGGAACTACATTGGGATAAAGTTCAACTCATGCCGGTTCGTTGCGACATGTCGCTCTTGACGCCCTCTGGCGAGAAAATCCCAGCAAAAGACACAATGGTCTACCTCGGGGCCACGCTTTCAAACTCTGGCCAGCTGCGCGGGGAGTTGGGAAAGAGGTTAGGAGCCGCATGGGGTGAGTTCTGCAGACACAGCCGCGCCTGGAAGCATGCGGCAATCAGTACTACTAGAAAGCTTCAATTATTTCAAGCGCTGGTGACTAATAAGGTCATGTTTTCGCTGAATTCGGCATGGCTCAACAAAGCTGAACGCAGAAGATTGGACGGTTTCCAAGCGAGGTGCCTACGTCGAATCCTGCACATTCCTCACGCATACATTTCAAGAGTATCTAACGAACAAGTGCTCTTGCAAGCAGGCCAACAGCGCTACACAGTGCAACTTCTGAGGCATCAGCTGTTGTGGTATGGGAAAGTATGTAGGGCGACAGACTTTGATGTTCTGCGCCGCCTCACCTTCCAACCCGGAAGCGCGCGGCCAGCTACAGACGCATGTGCCCGAGCACGAGGCCGGCCAAAAAATGCATGGGCGCAGTGCTTGTACAAAGTTGTCGCACCGCATTTTTCTTCGGACGAGGCAATAATGCAGCGCGTATGTGAGCCAGCAGCCTGGCGCAGATTTGTGATTGATGTTGCGTGTCTCCCTCCTCCTCCTCCTCCTCCTCCTCCTCCTCCTCCTCCTCCTCTTCCCCCTCTCAACCCTTGTCCTCAAGCAGCGCACGGTGTGAATTAAGAGGCAGCCGACGTGCAGCCGCCCCCGCAAAGCGGTGAGCCTTGGCTGGCATGGTCCTCTTTTGCCCACGCGCTCTGGCGTATGGCATTTCGTTCGTTCGTTCGCCGAACTGCCGATGGTGCTGGTTACCACGCCGGCGGCGCCGCCCACGGCGCAATGCTGCAGCACTGCCCACAACTCCGCCAAACTGCACCCGCCAGGCAGCTGCTTCCCCTCGGGCGCACCGCCCTCCTCGCGGCGGGGCGGCGGCAAACAAGGGGGAAACGAAAACGCAGGGGGACATCGCGGATGCCAGGAAACTGACCCCAGAAGGGGCATATTTGGTGTTGAACTCTCACTGCTAGAGGATAAATAAATATTGTTGATCCCCCCTCTGGTGACCATTTTTCAATTGAAGTGTTTCCCCAGGGGCTCGAACCCTATTTTTTGTTTCAGGGAAATAACTCGGCTCAAACTGTATGGTTGGCCCCTGGATTGCAACAACAACAAAAATCATCTGAAGTCTGCTCGCTCTTATCTGCTCGAGCGTCCGTTAACGCGTATTTCCCAAACCCTCGATACCCGCTCTCTTCGTCTTTGATCGCGCCCCTTTTGAAGGGTACGCTTTTCTTCCCTGCAGGCCGGGCCCCGGCAAGCGGCGGGGCGGCCGCGGACCGTCGGCCTGGCCAGCGGCAGAGCTGATCGCCGGCAACCCGACCCCAAGAGGGACGGACAGGGGACCGACCACAACGACGACGACGTTGACGACGTCGACGACGACGACGACGACGAGCGAAAGCGAGAGAGAGAACGGCAGCACGGCCACGAAGGGCACAAAGTATGCCACGAAGGGCAACAACGGGGACACAAAGGGAATGCGTATGGTGCCACGAAGAGAGCGAACGAACGGGGGCCACGAAGAGCAGATAATGCGGGGCGAAGGAAGGACAGCGAGGGGGACACAAAGGGCGACAGCGGGGCTACGAAGGGCATGCACATGGGGCCACGACGGGCGCGAACGAACGGGGGCCACGAAGGTCATACGTGTATTGGGCCGCGGAGGGCTGCAACGGAGCCACTGAGGACAGCAACGGGGCCACGAAGGGCAGCGACGGGGCCACGAAGGGCACGCAAATGGGGCCACGACGGCCGCGAACGAGCGGGGTCCGCGAATGGCAAACATACATGGGGCCACAAACCACAGCGAGGGGGCCACGAAGGGGTGCAACGGGGCCACGAAGGGTAGCGATGGGGGCAAGAAGGGGTGAAACGGGGCCACGAAGGGCAGCGAGGGGGCCACGGAGGCCTGCAACGAGGCCACGAAGGGCTGCAACGGGTCCACGTAGGGCTGCGACGGGGCCACGAAGGGTAGCGAGGGGGCCACGAACTGGTGCAACGGGGCCACGAAGAGCAGCGAGGGGACCGCGAAGGGGTGCAACGGGGCCACGAAGAGCAGCGAGGGGGACACGAAGGGCTGCAACGGGACCACGAAGGGCAGCGAGTGGGCCACGAAAGGGTGCAACGGGGCCACGAAGGGCAGCGAGGGGGCCACGAAGGGCTACAACGGGGGCCACGGAGAGCAGCGAGGGGGCCACGAAGGGCTGCAACGGGTCCGCGAAGGGCAGCCAAGGGGCCACGAAGGGCTGCGACGGGGCCACGAAGGGCAGCGAGATCCCGATCCTTAAATCATATGTGGGGGAGTCCGAAGCGTCAGCGCGACTCCTGGGTGCCTGCGTGTCGGGAGCGCGGCGCTCGAGTAAATTGCGGAAAATTCCAACCCAAGGGCGCTTCTTCAGTTAGTTGCAAGCAAGCCTCCAGCGAGCGCGCGACTCCAGAGCGACGAGAGAGCGATTCCTGAATACATCGCAAAGAAATCCAAAACGAGAGCGCGATTCCTGCATAAAGTAAAAGGACATGTTAGGCGGGAGGGGGGGGGTCCTGGCTAAATTGTTAAGGAAGTCTCGGGCGGGAGCCGTTGTTGTTGCAACCCGGGGGCCAACAACACAGTTTGACCCTCAAGACCTTCCCGGGTTAAAACCAGGGTGCGGGCGCCAGGGGGGACACTTCAATGGAAAAAACAATGTGCACCGGAGGGGGGATCAACAAGAATTATTCTTCAGTCGTGAAATCCCACCAGCCCTCTGGGCGTAGGTGGTTTAGGGAATTGTTTCTTCCACCCCTCCTTCTTCCCCTTCGGGGAGGGGTTTACCCCTCCCCCTAACCCCCTCCCCTGGACCTGGACGGGGGGTTTCGCTGGTAGTTGGAGCGTCCAAAACGGCCTCGGCGAGGAAGCCAACATCATCGGTTTTACTACGGCTTTGGCCCCATGTTGGCCTCTTGGGGGGGCAGTGCTAATTGACCCCACCCTCTTCTTTGATCGATCTCCTCCAAGATGGCCCCAAGAGGCGCCCAGGAGGCCCCAAGAGGCGCCAAGATGGCCCCAAGATGGCCCCAAGATGGCCCCAAGAGGCCCCCAAGAGGCCCCCAAGAGGGCCCAAGAGGCTCCCAGGATGGTTCCAAGAGGCCTCCAAGAGGCTCCAAGAGGCCGCCATGAAGCTCCAAGAGACCCCCAATAGGCCTCCAACAGGCCCCCAAGAGCCCCCCAAGAGGATCCCAAGCGGCCTCAACAGGCCCCCCCGAAGCACCCAAGACGCCCAAGAGCCCCCATTGACCGCCAAGAGACCCCCAAGACGCCCGAAGAGGCTTCCAAAAGGCTTCCAAGTGGCATCCGAGCGGCATTCAGCCATCCACCCAGCGTCATCATTCTCCTCATCCCTCCTTCGCTCGGTTCCTCGCCACCCCCTCATCTATCCATCTGGCCTCCTCTTCCGCCTCATCCTTTGCACGGATCGGCTGTCCCTCTCGTTGATCCCCCACTTCCCTGATCTCTTCAACTTGCCTGGACATAGTTTCTGGATGGGTTGGTGGGGATATTTATATATATAATAGATATATATGTGTTTATATATTTATATATTTTTATATATTTCTATATGTATAGGAAAAAACCAAGCGGAAGCGCCAGCGGCAGGCGGTGCTGGTGGGGATACGCGAAGCGTCAAGAATTCCAGCAACAACAACAACAACAACAACAACAATTACTAGCACGTGGGGACACTCCGTTCTCACCAGTGCCAGGGTTTTCATAGGAGGCGGGCAATACCCCCACTTTGTGGGGGGGCCGGTTCAAGCTCTACCAAATTTCCAAACGACTCTTCGCCACCACCCACACCCAGCTTCCCGCCCTATGACGTTCGGACACTTCACTTCGTGGCATGCGGACGACCGTGGCTACTATTCAGGGCCCCGCGGCCGACGACGACGGCGTGCGCGCGCGAAGAAAAAACGAATGTGTCCCGCATGGTATTATTTGACAGGGATGATGGCCCTGGCAGGTGCGCAACCGTTGTTGCAGAAGTTCGAAAAAGTTGCTCGCAAAAGCCCGTTTGACAGAAATGTTTAAAAAGTGTTGGGTTTCCTACGAATCCGCAAGAGCGCGCGGGATGAAATTTTGACAATTTTTTTTGAAAAACCATTGGTTTTTTGATGTTTTTATGTTAAAATCGCTACGAAAACTAAGGTTTTGGAAGGATTTCGTCTTGCGCGCGCGAATGTCCACTTTACCTTATTTTTTGCAAGGGATTCTTGAAATTTGGTTATATTAGAACAAGAAATGTCATTTTCTATTGTTTTTTGCAAGGGAAAGCGGATTACAACAAAACAACCGGATCCTGTACACACCCTCTTTTCTGAGGCTTCCTCACGAAAATGATGAAAATGCAGCTGCGGCCTAGGCGGCGCAGGGGGGGCGCGCACCAGGGGGCCCAACAATAATTATTCTTTAGAATAAATAATGTTCAACAACAACAACAACAACAACAACAACAACAACAACAACAACAACAACAACACGAATAACGGCTCAAGCCTAAGCCTTCCTCGCGACTTAGCCAGGACGCCCGCTCCCGCCTGAGACTTCCCCACAGTTTACTCAGGAATCGCGCTCGCGTTGGACACCTCCTAACAATGTATTTCAGGAGTCGCTCTTTCGGCGCTCTGGAATCGAGCTCTTGCTGGACACTTGTTTCAAAGTTATTCAAACAATGCGCTCTTGCGTTGGAGCCCCATGCGACTTACTCGAGCGCCGCGCTCCCGACACCCAGGCGCCCAGGAGTCGCGCTGACGCTTGGGACTCCCTCGCAGATAACTTAGGAATCGAAATCTCGCTGCCCTCCGTGGTCCCGCCGCAGCCCTTCTTACCCCCCCCCGCTGCCCAATGTGGACCCGTTGCAGCAATTCGTGGCCCCTCGCTGCGGTTCGTGGCCCCGTCGCAGCCATTCGTAGCCCCCTCGCTGCCTTTTCTGAACCCGTTGGGCCCTTTGTGGCCCCCTCGGTACGCTTCGTGGCCCCGTTGGAGCCCTTCGCGGCCCCCTCGCTGCCCTTCGCGGCCCCGTTGCAGTGTTTCGCGGCCCACTCGCTGCCCTTCGTGGCCTCCGCTCGTTCGCGCCCGTCGCGGCCCCATGCGCATGCCCTTCGTGGCCCCGCCGTCGCCGTTGGTGGCCCCCATCGGCGTCCCACGCGGCCCCTCTCCTACCCTCAGTGGCCCCGCTGTGGCCCTCTGTCGCCCCGCATTGTCTGCCCTTCGTGGCCCCCGCTCGCTCGCGCCCTCCATGGCCCCACACGCATGGTCTTCGTGGCCACGCTGTCGCCATTCGTGGCCAACTTCCTGCCCTTCGTGGCCCCGCTGTCGCCCTCGCTCTCGCTTTTGCTTTCGCTCTCGCTCGCTCGCTCGCTCGCTCGCTCGCTCGTCGTCGTCGTCGTCGTCGCCGTCGTGGTCGGTACCCTGTCTGTCCCTCTTGGGGTCGGGCTGCCGCCGATCAGTGCTGCCGTTGGCCAGGCCGACGGTCCGCGGCCGCCCCGCCGCTTGCCGGGGCCCCGCCTGCAGGGAAGAAAGGCATGCCCCCTAAAAGGGGTAGGATCGAAGACGAAGAGGGCGGGTATCGAGGGCTTGCGAAATACAAGTGGCATGACACTCGAGCAGCTAAGAGCGAGCAGTCTTAAATTGATTGTTGGTGCTGTTGCTGTTGCTGCTGCTGCTGCTGTTGATGTTGTTGTTGGTGTTGTTGTTGTTGTTGTTGTTGTTGTTGTTGTTGTTGTTGTGATTGTTGTTGTTGTTGTTGTTGTTGTTGTTGTTGTTGTTGCTGTTGCTGTGTGTAGTGTTGTTTGGATTGAACTCTAATTACTGAAGAATAATTATTGTTGATCCCCCCCCTCCGGCGGACATTGTTTTTTTTTCAATTGAAGTGCCCCTTCCGGGGCTCGCACCCTGTTTTTTATCAGGGAAAGTCGTGGGCATCAAACTGCGTTGTTGGCCCCCCCCGGACAACAACAACAACCACGGCTCCCGCTTTGATACCTCCTCCAAATTTACTCAGGACCCCCGCCCTCGCAGTTTACTCGGGCGGAGGCGCTCCCGCCTGAGACTTCCTCGCAGTTTACTCGGGCCGAGACGCCCCGCTCGCTCCCGCCTGGGCCTCTCCCTCCTCTGTTTCGGGGGCGGGCCCTCCGCCCCCGAGACTGCGGGAGCCTGTGCGGTCTCTCCACGGCCGGTCCCCGGGCGGCCTCCCCGGGTCGGCCTCCCACCTCCCTCCCTCCTCCCTCCTCCCTCCTCCCTCCTCCCTCCCCTCCGCCCTCCCTCCCTCCTCCTCCCTTCTCCCTCCCCTCTCCTGCCTCCCTCCTCCGTCCTCCCGTCTGCCTCCTCCCTCCCCTCTCCTGCCTCCTCCCTCCTCCCTCCTGTTTCTCCTCTCTCCTTCCTCGTCCCTCCTCCAAACTCCCTCCTCCCTCCCTTCCTCCCCCCTCTCTCTTTCTCTCCCTCTCTCTCTCTCTCTCTCTCTCTCTAAATCGTCCTCCCCCCTCCGCGTCCCGTCCCTCCTAGCATCTTCCCTCCTCCCTCGTCCCTCCCTGCTCCCTTCCCTCCTCCCTCGTCCCTCCGCCCGCCCTTCCAAAGAGAAATAATCCCCCTAAAGGGGGTACGTTCGAATACTAAGAGGGCGGGTATCGAGGGTGTGCCTCGTGATTCATTCAGGATTCACCCTTTAGTCACCCGCCCGCCAGGTTTCGCCCGCCCGATCCGCCTGTTACAGCCCGCCCGTTCGCTCTCTTGGCATCTCGCCCGCCCGCTTTAAGCCACCGCCCGCCCGACCCGCCAGCGAGGGTCCGCCGCCCGACCCGTCCGTTGGCGTCCGCCCGCCCCGCCAGCCCGACCCGCCCCTCAGAGTCCGCCGCTCGACCCGTCTGTCTGGTTCGTCCGTTTGTTTACCTCCTCTTTTGCCCCCCTCCCCTCCTGCTAACCTCTTTCGTCCTCCATCCATCCTCCCCCCCTTGCCCCTTCCCTCCTCCCTCCCTCCCCCCACTCTTTTCCTCCTCGCTCTCCCTTCCTCCTTCCCCCTGCTCTTCCTGTTTTAGGGGCTGCGCCAACTACACGTGGCGAGTAAAAAAGATATACCCCCAAAGGGGTATGACCGAAGACGAAGAGGGTGGGTATCGAGGGTTTGGGATTTACATATTGAGTGACGCGCGCGCATATAAGAGCGATCAGTCTTAAGATGATTGTTGTTGTTGTTGCTGTTGTTGTTGCTGCTGTTGTTGATGTTGTTGCTCGCTGCTGCTCCCCCAGGAGGGGCAGCCCACGGCCCCAAAGCTGCCACCCAGTGGGCTCAGGAGGCGCACGACTCTTCACCCCAGCCTTCCCCCTGGCAGCGCTTCGCTGGAACGCTCCAGGCATGGCAAGCGAGGACCACAGAAGAGTCCTACAGTCGGGGCGTTGACCTAAGGAACCCTAGATAAGGAACGAGGCCCCTCTTTTCCACAAGTTCAGCTTCGATTTCCCATACAACAACCTAGGGGAAGCCCGAGGCAAACTGTGAAACAATCAGGGAACACCGAGCCCCTCCCCAACGAAAAGCGTTCCTTCTTCAGGGCCCCGGATGTACGAAGGGGCACGGGGCACGAGACCGCCCCGTGCCGGCAGCCGTCTCGCCCGACGCCCTCGCACTCTGCTCGGGAGCCGTGCTCTCGCCTCGAGGAGCCGGCTACGACTTTCGGGGGCGCGCAAGCACTGAAGGGGCCTTGGGACACACAACTACATACACACACATAGAATAATTCCCTATATTTTTCTATATTGTCTCGGCTTTTGTCTTCCCCGCCACTTCCCATATCTTCCCGTATTTTCTTGGGGATCGACGATTAATTGTGTCTGTGTGCTTTCTTCCCTCCTGCAAACATGGAATAGCGATACATGCATCTGGCGCGCGGTCGCCAAAGCCATGGATATCGGGGGAGGTGCCCTCCCCAAAGTGCGGCCGGCGCCGCCCCGCTCGGCGGCGGAAGCCCGCGATTTCCCGTGGGAGCGGGGCCGTCACTCATCCACGCTGCCTTGACCCATGCTTGCGATCGCCTGAAAGTTTGATCGGGGCGGCCACGACCTCGATGGAGGGACGACACATTACGGTGCACATCGCCGTGATCTCACCCCTGTCATGGTTGCATCGCTTTTGCTTCTCAAGGCTTCCCGGCCGTGCTTGTGCTACTCCTCGACCCGCCTCTTCACACTTGCTGCTGTCAGGGTGGTTCTGCTGTGGTAACTTCTGAGGGCGAGACCAGTGCCATGATACGACTGGCTCAGACTACGACCCAGGAGCTTCATCACACCTCAGGTGGTGCATGCCCTCGGTTCTGCAGCCCGTGCGGAACACTCGGAAATTATGATCAAAAACAAAAACCGCATACATAAACTTTCGGCGCTCCGCGCGGACTTATTGAATCTGCGCTGGACCCCCCTCCCTGGCGCGCTCCGCGCGCCAGGGACGGCGCCGGAGGCGCCGCCAGGGGGGCCCAGGCGCCGATCCAAGAAATCCGCGGGGAGCGCCACAAAGTTTCTGTTTCTGCGGTGTTTTCTTCTTCGAATGATGACCTCTGTCTCCTCCGACTTCTGTCCCCCCGTGAACTTGATCGGGGACCGACCGTCCTGGCATTCCTATAGGCCTTCCTCGAAATGCGCCTAGAACCCAAAACAACAAAAACAATGTTCTTAGAACGTGAGCCCGATGTGTTAACACAAGACGGTCTCAGCCAGAAATGTTCTGAGAGCATCTCCTGCAGACTACAAAACAGGCTCTTCGAAGATTAGCTCGTGGGCCCTATAGGCCAGCCAGGACGCCTCGCCACCGCTCGAGTGCACGGACGCCGCATCTCCCCCGCGCTGCGGTCGACGGGGTCGCCGTCACCGCGCGCCGCACACGGTGCACTGGGCCCAGAGCGCGACGTGCGAAGCTGGTGGAGCGCCAGCGGGCACAGCACCAGGCACATCATGCCCGCGCTCAGCAGCCGCAGGGCCACGTCGGAGAGCCCCTCCGCCAGGCGGGCACCCAGGGCCACGCCCGGCAGGCCGCAGAGGCCCAGGCAGCCGGCGACCGTGAGGTCGCAGTGCCCGCTGCGCAGCCACTCCCCACCTCGGCGGCGCGCGCCAGGGGGGCAGGGAGGAGAAGGAGGAGGTTTCCTATGAAGGGGCCCTGGGACACACACATAAATACACACAGATAACAGGATTCCCCATATTTTTCCTATACTTTCAGGGTTTTCGTCTTCCCCCCCTCTTCCCATGTTTTCCCATATTTTCCTGGGGATCGACGATGAATTGTGTCTGTGTGTGTTTTTCTCCTCCTGATCCTAACAGGAGGCCGCTTCTGAGGAGGCGCGGGCCTCACGTCTTCAGGCGAGGCCCACGCCTGCGAGGAAGCGGGGGGGGAGGGGCGGGCTCCCGAGGCTCCTTCCCCCCCCCCTCCCCTGGCCCCCCCTCCTGCGCGTGGCCGACCACCGGCGGACATGGCGGACAGGGACTGCGCCACCGTGGAGTTGGCCACGGCCTCCAGCTGGCTCATGCGCAGCCCCGGCGTGTACACCTCGGAGGTGCCCCCATGGGCAATGGGCGACCGTCGGTGCGCGGCCATGGGGGGGCGCGGGGGGGGCCGGACCCGAGCGCGCAGGCCGCTGCCATCGCATCGCATGCATCGCACAGGAGGGCCCCAGCATCGGAGATTATCCCGCTGGTGGGCCTCTCCCAGGGTGCGCTCCGGCGCCCGGAAGAATCCAGCCGTGGCGACGAGAGATCTCCAGGAGGAGCAGCGGTATCTGTATCTATAGGGGGGCAAACAAACCGACCTCGCTTTGAACCACCCTCGCTTCCAAGAGATACCAGACGATGCCAAACTACGGCCTGTACTGGTCAGGCCGCTTGACGAGGAGGCGCGTGGTACGACTTGGTTTTGCCTGGAAGCGAAAGCGGGGTAGGTAATTCACGCTCTGAATATATCCCTCCCTAGGAGCGCCATCCCGCTGATCGAGAGGATGCCGGCCCCGAACCCGAGCGAGCCCATGCAGAAGCCGGCCACGAACGCCACCGGCAGGGCCAACAGAGCGCGCCTCACGTGCGGCTAACATTTTTGTTGCAGGCACGGCTAGACTGAAGGGGCCCCAGGACACACACACACACATATATATATATATATATATATATATATATATATACATAAAATGATCCCCCATATTTTCCTATAGTTTCTGGGCTTTTGTCTTCGCCCCCACTTCCTATATTTTTCAATATTTTCTGGGAGATCGACGATTAATTGTGTCTGCGTTTTTTTCCCTCCTGATAGACGGGAAACCATCTGTTTAGATGAACTAGAAGTCACAGCATGCCTCAGCAAGCCTGGGCTCGGCTGAGGGCGACGGCGGCGAGGCGAACCTTCCCTCGCAGACGCTCTCGCGGTCTCACCTCCTCCCACTCCACGGCATTAAAGGGGAGGAAAGGGACCGCCCTCCAGGTGCTCCGCGCCCTCCCGGTCGGGATCCTGGGGCGCGGTCCTGCGGATCCGAGAGGGGCAGCCGCGCAACAGTGCCGCGCTCCCGCGGGGGGGCGCGGCCGACAGGCCCGGCCCTCGAGAGGCCGCAGAGATGCGGTGCGACCTGTGGGGCTGAAGAGCCTCCTGCAAGCACACGAGACCCTCCGCCGGCCACGCTGATCGGGGGCGCGCAAGCATGGATTTTAGCGATCCATGGATCTTGATCTTGCGCGCGGTCGCCAAAGCCATGGATCGGGGGAGGTGCCCTCCCCAAAATGCGGCCAATGTCTCCCCGCTCGGCGGCGGAAGTCCGCGATTTCCCATGGAAACGGGACCCGTCGCCAATCCACGCCCCCTTGATCCACGCTTGCGATCGCCTGAGCTGAAGAGCACTCGAGGGCACCCTCCCCCAGGATGCGCGAGGGGCCACCCAACAAGCACGAAGAACACCAGACCCAGACCCCCGACGTCATGATTTTTTCATGACGCGACCCCCAGAGGTCCAGACCCATTCCCCGGGACCGGTTTTTCATCCCGAGTCGTTTTTTGACGCTCCCGAGGCCCGGTGAGGGCCCCCAGAGGCCGAAAACAGCGAAAAACCTCCCGTCGTGATTTTTTCACGACTCGAGGAGGTCTGGGGAGTACCCTCCCCGAGCCGACCTCGATCTCTTCTGCCTCGACCCGACCCGCAGTGTTTATCTCTTCAAGACGCGAGGACGTCGAATGCTCGGCCACACCTCGGGCCCCCCGGCGGCGCCCCGGGCATCGAGACGATCGGGGCAGGCGAGCTTCTCCTCCTCCTCCCTTCTGCTCCTCCTCCTCCTCCTCCTCCGCCTCCTCCTCCTCCTCCTCCTCCTCCTCCTCCTCCTCCCCCTCCCCCTCCCCCTCCCCCTCCCCCCTCCCCCTCCCCCGTCCCCCTCCCCCTCCCCCCGCCCCTCCACATCCTGGGCGGGGACCAGGGACGATCGCGGACGCCCTCGACGAGGCGAAGCTGCTGGAAAGCGCCGCGAGGCTCACGAACACAGCAGAAGACCTTGCCCGAAAACCTCACGACGCGAGGATGCCCAAGGATCCGATGTCTCGCTCTGCTTCCACTCGGGGACCCCGAAAGTCTCGACCCCCGCCCACAGGATGCGCAAGAACATCCAACAAGCACGAAAAACATGATGGTATACTCTCCCCGAACCGACCTCGACCTCATGCCTCGGTCCGACCGTACGGGCACGCTGGTCGCCCACGACTGGCTTCTGTCACGAGGCGGGGGGGCACGTCCGCCGACCTCCTCCTCCGTTCCTTATTTCCTTCCAGCTCCTTATGAACAACTCCTCCTCCGATCTCCTCGTCGTCCTCCTCCTCCTCCATTATTTTCCCTTATGCCTGATTAGCTCCTCGCTGTCGCAGCCCCGAGGCCGGTCAAAAAAGCGAGCTGGGCCTGGCGCCGCGCACATTCGTACAAAACGAATTGAAAGAGTTTCACCCACTCGGGATTGTCACACAACTGTTGAGCGAATTCGCAGTGAAGTCCCAGGAATAGCTTTCTGGCACGATTCAGGATCGTCAAGACGCAACGGTCAGGCTGATCCATGGCGTTAGAGGCACGCTTCGGGATCTTCGGACGGTTGTCTCCCAACGGGGCACGTCCCTCCGTGGAAATGAATCTTTGCAGGGGCCTGTGAAGAGGGAGCTTGGAGGGAGGGTTTGCCCCAACATCGTTGATGAGTCTTGGGTTCGCACTCCTCCTCTTCCTCCTCCTCCTCCTCCTCCTCTTCCTCCTCCTCCTCCTCCTCCTCCTCCGCATGGGCGGCTCTATTTAGAATCATTCCCTAGCATCCTGAGCCTCCGCGCGTGACGCCACGGCGAAAAGCCTCCCGTGGCGCTGTTTTCTCCGCCCGCGCGCGCCGCAGGGACTCCACGCCCAGCGCCGCCAGCGCCCTCTGCGCCGCGCACCCCGCGGGCGCCGCCGCCAGGGCGCCGCCGCGCGCCAGGCACCAGAGCAGGCAGCAGCCCGCGGCCACGCGCAGGACCGCGGCGCGGCGCCCGCGGCGGCGCGCGGGCGGCTCGTGCCAGCCGGGGCGCCGGGGCCCCGGCGGGGCCCACGCTGCCATGCCGCGCGGCGACGGGCTCGACCGCCCCCCCCCCCCCCAGACGCGCCTCGCGCCGCGAGGCCCTCGCGCGGCAGCCTCCGGGGGGCTCTCGGGCGGAGCGGCACCTCGCCGAGAGCGCTCCGGAGGTGCCCCATGACCGATCCGAGCGGCGGCCACAGGGGCCCGATTCGTGGACCGGAGGCCGACCGTCTCGCGCCGTGGAGACATCTCACGGCAGGATGTCTCTGGACGTTTCGGCCCCTGGGGGGGGGCCTCGCAGGGCCCCAATTAAGGGGCCGTCAGCGGAACGACACCGAACGGGAAGTCTGACTACCCCCGGCAGGGGGTCCAGACCTATTGCACCATGGGGGACCGCGTTGTAAGGAAAACGCGGCGCAGGATGTCTGGGCATCGCCTGGTAAGCCGAAACCGCCTCGGCCCGAATGCCCTTGCGCCAAAATGGCTCTGGGCCGGGCCGCCAGGGCCTGTGGTGCGGTCGGGAATACCTTGGGGGATCGTGGGGTCAGGACGCCAGTGCATGTGGGATGGGAAATGGATGAGCGGACCAAACCAAAATCGGCAGCAATATCTGAAATCCTAACAGACACATCCTGTGCCGCCGGGAACAACCAAATAGGTTTCAGAAAGGCCTCAGAGTTGGTCCCGCATACGGCGTTACGCAGGCCGTTACCGCAGGCCGTCCATAAACACGACAGGCTATTTGATGTTCGTCAGGTCCGACTCTGCCTCCAGGACCACCAACATTCAAGGGGTCCAGGGACACACAAATAAATACACACAAATCCAAGGATTGAGCATGCTTTCCTATATTTTCTGGGTTTTCGTCTTCCCTCCCACTGCCCATAGTTCCCTATACTTTCTAGGGAATGGACGATTAATTGTGTCTGTGTGTTTTTTGTTCCCCTCCTGAAGCAATTCATTCGGGCGCCACTGAAAGCCAACTGCTGGCCTTCGTCCCTGGTCATCGCGGATAGGACGCGCCCAAACAAGCACGAACTAGAACTTTCCGGGGGAGGCCCAGCAGATTCTGATCCCAGCGCTGGACCCCCCCATCGCCAGCGCGCGCAAGGGTCGCCCCCAGCACCGCTGCCGCCACCGTCACCATCGTCGCCCTTGCACCCACCGTCGCCGCGGCCGCCACCGTCGCTGCCGCCGCTGCCGCCGCTGCCGCGAAGATCTGTTGCCGCTTGCGTCCCTGGCCGGACAGGTGTCCACAGGCTCCCCAGGGACGCACCGAACGACCTCTAGAGCCCACCCTCGCAGCCCAGAGAGCTCTCCGGGGCTCCCGAGGGCCTGTCTTCTGAAGGTTCTGGCAAGCTTGCCTGCACCGAGGGGGGATGGGGGCGGGACGCGAGGCCACGGAGGAGCGCTGGACTTCACGCGAGCCGCGACTCACTTCTGCGCGCCTCTTCGGCCCAGCGCTGTGTTGAGAAGGTGGAACACGCCATGCAGATGGCGCCACCCCGCCGCCGCCGCCGGCGCCGCTGCGACTCCGTCCCTCGGGGGTCGGCTTGGCACCACCGCAGCAGCCGAAGAACTTGTACGGTATCCTCCCACGCGAGGGTGCCCAGAGATCCGATGTCTTGTCTTGGTTCAGAAAAAATCCCCAAAAGCCTCGACCCCCTCCTGGGGACTGGCTTTTCACCCCGAGCAATTTCCTGACGGTCCTGGGGCCCGGCGAGGGCCTCCAGAGGTCGAACTCGGCGAAAAACCTGCGTGGTTGTTCAATACGTGTTAGGTCTGGGTCCAAAAACCTCACGACACTGCCTGTGGAGGAAGAAATTGGAGCGCGACACAACAACTTCACACTGCTCGGCCTCTAACACTGGGCGAATCAGAGTGTCAACAAGCCGACGCGAGCCGACCTGCGATGATCAAGCCCATGCAGTGGACCGTGGCCTGACAGAGGGAACCGAGCGCGCCGCATGCGAACACGCCGCGAAGCCCGGCGGGCCAACGACGTGACCTGCGCAAGACGCGACGCCAAGAGGCGAGAGGCACGGCGGGATGGGTCCGACAACCTCCCCAGACCCCCGACGTCATGATTTTTTCGTGACGCGACCCCCAAAGGTCCAGACCCATTCCCCGGGACCGGTTTTTCATCCCGAGTCGTTTTTTGACGCTCCCGAGGCCCGGTGAGGGCCCCTGGAGGCCGAAAACAGCGAAAAACCTCCCGTCGTGATTTTCTCACGACACGAGGAGGTCTGGGTCACGACTGCGGGCTGCGCGGCCCGCCGCCGATCCGTCCTGCCACCGCACCCGCTGCAGCAGCAGCGGCGCGCGCGCCAGCTCCGCCGGCGGCGGGCCCGCGTGGCCCCCTCCGCGCCGCCGCCTCCGCAGCTGCGCGGCCAGGACCAGCATCAGCGCCTGGCCGTCGCGGGGGAAGGAAAGGTGATGGGCCTGTTTTCCACCACCACCACCACAAGTTGGAGGAGGAGGGGTCCTCCTCCTCCTCCTCCTCCTCCTCCTCCTCCTCCTCCTCCTCCTTCCCCCCTCCAACTTGTGGTGGTGGTGGTGGAAAGCAGTCCCATCAAAAGGAACGAGCGAGCGCGCACCGTCGACGGCGACGGATCGGCCCTCCTTGCAATAGCCAGACCCCCTCGGCCCCTCGGGCCAGGAGCACACACGGCGCGGTGGTGTGCGCTTGGTGTGCCGTGTCCTGCGCCCTGCGGGCCCTCGGGCAGCCCCAGGGCCGTCGACAGAACGCCTCAGGAAGCCCTGGTCCCCGGTGAGGGCGTTGGGACTTCCTGGGGCCCGGGATTGGGCAAATGCACGACGTCGATGTCTGGGCGCCGTCAGTCCGACGGAGCGGCCCCTTGAGGGCAGCACGGGCGGGCCGGGGCCTGGGAATGGGGCCACGCCGCGGCATCGGCGAACCGCACGAAGGGATTCTTTAACTAGAAGATCAAAAAGTCCGCGCGAACTCGTGGATCGACGCTGGACCCCCCTCCCTGGCGCGCGAAGCGCGCCAAGGGCGGCGCCTGAGGCGCCGCTAGGGAGGGCCCGCGCCGGGCTCCAGCCAAGCCGACCTTGAGCAACCTCGTAGTTCAGTCGAAGGGAAGCCCCTTCCCTTTGATCCCTCCCCCGCCGGGAGGGGGGGGGGGGGTGCGACCCCCCCCCCGGGTCAGATACGACGCCCCCCCCTGGGACTCCTCTTCCCCTGGGCTCCAGCCAAGCCGACCTTGAGCAACCTCGTAATTGAGTCGAAGGGAAGCCCCTTCCCTTTGATCCCTCCCCCGCCGGGAGGGGGGGGGGGTAGCGACCCCCCCCCCGGGTCAGATACGACGCCCCCCCCTGGGACTCCTCTTCCCCTGGGCTCCAGCCAAGCCGACCTTGAGCAACCTCGTAATTGAGTCGAAGGGAAGCCCCTTCCCTTTGATCCCTCCCCCGCCGGGAGGGGGGGGGGGGTAGCGGGAGGGGGTAGCGACCCCCCCCCCGAGTCAGATACGACGCCCCCCCCCGTACCGACCTTGAGCAACGTCGTCATTGAGTCGAAGGGAAGCCCCTTCCCTTTCCCTTCCCCGACGGGGGGGGGAGAGGAGGTCCCGGGGGGGGTCCCGGGGGAGTCCCGGGGAAGTCCCGGGTCAGATACGACACCTCCCTCCCCCACCTTCTCGTCCTTCTCCCCGTTCCCCCAAACCATCCCGCAGCCCGTGCCTCTTGCTGCGCATTGCGAACAGGGTTGGCGGCACCGGCCGTCAGGCCTTCGCAATAGAAGATCAAAAAGTCCGCGCGAACTCGTGGATCGACGCTGGACCCCCCTCCCTGGCGCGCGAAGCGCGCCAAGGGCGGCGCCTGAGGCGCCGCTAGGGAGGGCCCGCGCCGATCCACGAAACCCGCACGGACTTCAAGGAACTCAGGTTATATTTGTTGTTGCTCTTCGGACGGGGGCAGCGGCAGCGCGGGCGGGCGGGCGACAATGTGTTCCTTTCCCGGGGATGTGTGGGGGGGGGGTCGAGCGGGAGGGTAACAGAAACAACGGCGGCCCCGGCGTGCACCCGCGAGAGTGAGTCCGCGCCACCAGCGCATCAATCGCCTGCGTGCAGCACAGCATGCAGGGGGGGGGGTCCAGACCACCCCCCCCAGTACGATCGCTGGCGTTACCCAAGGGGGGGGATTGGCCGGGGTAACGAGCGTTACCCTGGGGCGGAACAACAAAACCGCCCACTGGGGGCCCGGAGAGAGGCCATGCCACGGCACTGGCAAACTGAACACCTGGAATTGGAAGCGTGGGAGCGCGAGACCACGGCATGCGATGTCCAAACTTTTTGGCAACACGCTGTCCCTGGCAGCCCCGACTCCCCAGTGGTCGGCCTCTCGTCCTGAAGGATGCTCGTGGACGGTGTCGGGGCTCGGCGAGGGCCCCCAGGGGCCGAACACGGCCATCAAAACCGCGCGGCGCGATGTTTTCTGCTTCCGTGCGGGAATCTCCTGGCCCGGGTCAATCCAAACCCGGGTCAGTCAAGCCTTGCAAAATCCTGCAAGATCCTGCGCCCAAGCCCGGGTCAATGTGAAAGATCCTGCAAGGTCCTGCAGGATCCTGCGCCCGAGCCCTGGTGGGTCAGTGCGACCCTGGCCCTGCAGGATTCTGCAAGATCGGACGGTCTGGCAGAGCCCCATTTGCATTGACCCCCGTCTGAAAGCTCCCGATCCGTATCCATGTCAGCAGCCCCAGGCAGCGGACGGGGAAGGAGAACTCGGGAAAAAAACCTGGCGACGACGACGTCGAGGGTCGCCTGCTGGAGCGCGGCGCATCTCGGTGTTTTCTTTGGTGGGCCCATTTTCCACCACCGCTACCATATGTACTGTCAAGCTGGATTGGGGAGGACACGGGAGAGGACACAAAACCCTTCCGAGGGCCGCATTGCTATAAGAGTATACAAGGCATGGGTCGCGAAGCACAGGACACATGGGTACCCTTGATTTGGCAGGGTCGACCTATTATCATTGCGCTTGCACAAGCATGACGAGAAAGTGGACGCGAGGCGCGCAGCGGAGAGGGCACCGAGGCATCTGGCACCGCAGCACGGGGGCCGCACGGGGCCAGGCCGACAGCGCGAGAAGACGGCAGGGCGACAGAGTTCAATCAGACCTCGAGGAAGCCAGGGAAACGGCAGCGGGCGGTTGGCCGAGCCGGAGCCCCCAAACACCTGCCGGAGCCGGCGCCCCTCGCCCGCCTGGGCCCCTCCCCGACCGCGGCAGGGCGGGCCCCCGTCGGCTACACGTAACAAGGGCCCTGGGCAACAGTGGCCCTTGTTGCGCGGCTTGCCGCCCTTTGCGTGCGACGCGACGGCAGCGGCCTGCCTGCTTGGGCCTGGCCTCCGCGCGCCCACCGGCGGCCGCGCAACAGCGCCCGCTCACCGCCAAGGGTCACCCCTTGCGCGCGTCTCCGAGAGCAACGCGCGGGTTTCGGGCGCTCGCGGGAGGAGGCAGGCGCTAGGCGCCCCAGGCCGGGGAGCGCGCCCTGCGGCCCGGCGCCCTCCGCTCAGCCGCCGCGGCCCCGGCGCTCGGGGTTTTTGGGGTTCTCGGGGTTCTTCGGGCTCTGCGCGCCCGACGAGGGGGCGGCGCGCCTCGCCGAGGGGAGGGCGTTTCTGGTCACGGGGTCTTGCGGGGCGACGTGCCGGAGGATCAGCTTCAGCATGTTCAGTAGTTATGCGGGTGAGCTCGAGGACCCTCGATTTGGTCGCGCCCAGCTGCGCGATGCCCTCGAGGAGCTCGACGATGTTGATCTCGTCCGAGCCGTCCGCGTCCAGCGCGTCGATCAGATCGAAGAGCGAGTCCACGTTCAGGAGCCGCCCGAGATTCATTCGCAGCTCCTCAGAGGCGTGCTGGAGCTCGGCAGAGGTGATGAAGCCGCTGCCGTCCGTGTCCAACCATCATCGCCTTGGTGGGGGCACCGCCCAGCGAGGAAGCCTGGCAAGACGGTGGCCCAGCAATGACAATCACGGACAAACAGACGGATGGGCAGCGTTGCGGGAGGAGGGAGGAGCACCATTGCGGGCCCTGCAGGATGATGAAGAAGCACCGATGCGAGCCCCAGCCACAGTAATTAGAAGAAGACGCACGGCCCGGACGATCCGGAAGCAGCAGCGAGGCCCAGGCGCGGCTAAGATCGCGCGCGTCGACCACACGGTCACAAAATTGGACGCCCGAAAAGGGTACGGAAAGAATGGGTACAATGCCCAACAACAAATGTTGTCCCAAACCAACAGCGGCCGCTGTTGGGCAGGCGGCCTCCTGTCTCGAACGGACACAGGCCGCGGCGGCGTGGACAGCGAGCCCTGTTCAAAATGAACAAGATCCGCTGTTCGGCATTGTACCCATTCTTTCAGTACCCATTTCGGGCGTCCAGAACAAAGGAATCACCCCCACCACGCATTCTGCGAGTTGAGGCCGAACACGTGGCAGCCAGAAGCAGCAGACAATAGTTTGCGGCTCAGGGAGCCAGCGAAGAAATCGAGCCGGGTCCTGGCCTGGAGCCGGCCCGCATCGCCGAACGCGATGCCTTGGCGAGCCTGCTTGCCAGGCTGGCCGGCTGCGCGCGACGGACGCAAGAACGCGAGCGCGCCGTCGTCCGTCGGCGTGTAGATGGTGCGGCCCCCTTGAGCAAGTGCGCCTTTAGCGGGAGCGAGCTGGGCGCGGCCCTCCTGAGCGGCGGAGACCTCGAGGTCGGCCGGCTCCCAAGCGCCCCAGGCGCTGCCGCGCAGGGCCAGACGCTCGCTGAGAGGATCGGCGCCAGTGGCGCGCTCCTTGACGTCAATCAAAGAAACTCAGCCTAAGGCAGTCGTGACTGATCCATCTGAATCTTGCTCTTCCGGACTGCAGTGTCCCGGAATAACGTCTCCAGTTGGGTGCTCAGGGCGCGGGAATGGATGCGCGGCCGCGTGGACAGGGCGCGCGCGGGCGACTCCTGCGCGCGGCCGAACATCCGCGGCGAGCGGGCGAAGCAATGGGCATGCGCCGCGAAGCCCGCGCCGCGCTGATCCAGCACCTTGATCATCGCCTGCACGAGCATGCCTTTTTCCTTGAGCGTCTGGCTCAGGACGGCGGCCGACGCGCGCAAATCGCGCAGCAACCACTTGCCGACTGCTCTCGCTGAGAATCCCCAACTCCACGCTGCGCTCGTCGCCGCGGGCCTCGCGGGGAGGAGCATCGCAGCGATCGGGCCGCGCGAGAGTTCGCCGCCATTTGAGGGGGCGGTCGTAGAAGTGCCGGCCGCGCACCAACTGCTTGCCAGACGCCGCCGGGGGGAGAAAAGCATGCTCGTTGCGCCGCGGGTCTGCGAAAGCGCGGGTGGCGCCCCAGACCAGCGGATGCTGCGGCGACAAGTCGTCGGATTCGCCGACGGCGCCAAGGGCCGAGCCGCC